AAAAAAAAAAAAAAAAAGACTTAAGAGACATATTAACCAAACGCAATGTGTGGATCTTGTTTAGATTTTGGTGGGAACAAGCCAACTGTAAAAAGACATTTAGACACAATTAGGGAAAATTGAACACAGACTGGGTATTCAATTAGATTAAGAATTATTGTTAATTGTTGGGTATGGTAATGGTATTGTGACATTTTTTAAAGGACCTTATCTATTAGATATACACACCAGACTACCCTAGTAAAATCATATCTGAAATTTGTATTAAAATACAATACCATCCCACTCCCTTGAAAGACAGGGAGTGGGAAAAGATAAAACAGGAACAGCAACTTTTGATATTTGTTCAAGATGGATGATGGTAGATGAGAGCTCATTAATCAATTTTACTTCAGCAAATGCCTGAAAATTTCTGTAATAAAATCTTATTATATATATATATACTATACTATATATAGTATATATATTACTATAATAATTTAAACCACTCCAAGCAATTTAACGATAACAAAGTTGCACCTAGATGTTATTTATATGAGATATATAATGATTCTGCTGCACCATGAAATAATTTTGCCATCTTTTAGGTATTTTTTTATATTTTTGGATTCTACTTTACTCATTTTTAGCTAGTAATTCCTGTGCTGTTATTGCAATAGCAAAATAGTTGAAAAAATTTGAATATATAAGTTGTGATAAATTATAAAGTATGTGGGATATAGGCTGCTGTAGGATTATCATAAATTAGATAATACAAATAAAGTGCTTGGCACAGGGCTTGATATAAACCTAAAATTCAGTGAACCCTTAGAATCTGCCCTCGAAGAACACAGAGAAGCTCTTCAAGAGGACTTCCATGTAAGGATCAGCCTAAAAGCAGAAACCTGCTAGTTGACAGCCCTGCCTATGTGCAGTTGAAAAACTTTTAAGTCTGGGACACTACTTTTCGAGCAAATTGTCATTTCAACCATATTGCTTTTGATAAAAAACAAAAAAATACTACCATTAAAGCAGTATGGCAGTTGAGCAAGAGTAAATATCCTCTCATTACACATAGAAAAAAATCCAGCAACAGACAAACACACACACACATATAAAATTCAGTATATGATAAAGACAACATTTCATAACAGAAAGGAAAAGATGATTTGTTATGGTGTTTGAGCCCCACACTCATATCTTTCACCAAAATTATTTCCAATTATTTTAATTATTGCTTAAAAAATCTTTAAATGTAAAAAACAAAACCATTGCCATAAAAGTAGAAAATAAAGGTGAATTTTACATAACTTTGAGGTAAAGCACAATTTTCTAGGAGTGCCACTAAAGATACTATTGAGAAAAAACTGAAAGAACTCGCTACATGAGGAAATGTAAACTTCTGTGCATCAAGAAGTCAAATGAAATCAAAAGGAAAACAAATAGGGATGATAACTGCCAATGAAATGAAGGGTTAATATCTTTAACTATACAGGACTTGAAAAAAAAATCAATGTGGAAAAGATAACCCATTGGAAAAAAGTGCACAGGACATGAACAAGCAATTCCATATGGCTAGCAAGCATAATGAAAAAAATGTTCACCTCAACTAGAGATCAAGGATTTGGCTACAAGGATCCTCCTTATACCGTTATTTAGAAAAAGAGCAGCAACAACTTTTAAGGTCCTACAATAATGGAAAGGCTAAGCATATTATGAAGCAATCACACATTATGTCTATACACCACTAAAAATGATGCAAAATGTTACCAGTAACATGGAAAAATGTCCATGTATAATAAACGAAAAAAAAGCAGACTACAAAACAAACGTAAATAGCATTTGTAGGATGATCTCACTTTTTAAAAAATACACCTGTGCATGGAGGACTCAGAAACAAAGATTTAAAATCATGACCACGTCATCTCTGGGATGGTGGAACGGGGATGGGAGACAGTAGAGTGTTCTATTTTCGTTTTGTCTTTTTTATGATTTTATGTAGTAAACACACATGGCTTTCCTAATAGGAAAAAATATAACTTTTGCTTGTTCTTAAATTAAAGGATGAGGGCCGGCCCCGTGGCTTAGTGGTTAAGTGTATGTGCTCCGCTAGTGGCGGCCCGGGTTCGGATCCCAGGCACGCACCGACGCACCGCTTGTCTGGCCATGCTGAGGCTGCGTCCCACATACAGCAACTAGCAGGATGTGCAACTAAACTATGACATACAACTACCTACTGGGACTTTGGGGGAAAAAAAAAAGGAGGAGGATTGGCAATAGATGTTAGCTAAGAGCTAGTTTTCCTCAGCAAAAAGAGGAGGATTGGCATGGATGTTAGCTCAGGGCTGATCTTCCTTACAAAAAAAAAAAAAAAAATTAAAGGATGAGACACAAATCAGTATCTTATCCTGATTTATAAAAGTCAGAAATAGTAAACAAGCAGGAACAGAAGACTAGGAAGTGAGGAACTCCTGGCCTTAACTTAGTGCCTTAATCTCTCTCAAATAAAAAAATCACTTGATTTTATTAAAATAAAATTTGTAAGATTTGATTTTATTTGTAAGACTAAGAAGGGCCAGGGCTTTGTTTATCTCCTCCTTAAAGAAACAGGTATACAATGTAAATACCACAATTTGTCAATCATACCTCAATAAAGCTGAGGGGGAGAAAGTAAAAATCTATTAAAAAGCAAACGAAAAAAAATAGGCAAAAGTTACTGAAAAAATAGTACCATGGGATTGCTTTTTCAGTGCTATTTAGATTGAACAGCTTAGGGCCGGCCCCGTGGCTTAGCGGTTGGATGCGTGCCTTCTGCTGCTGGCGGCCCTGGGTTCGGATCCCAGGTGCGCACCGATGCACCGCACTGCTTCTCTGGCCATGCTGAGGCCACGTCCCACATACAGCAACTAGAAGGATGTGCAACTATGACGTACAACTATCTACTGGGGCTTTGGGGAAAAAAAAAAGAGTAGAACAGATTGAACAGCTTAGTGCTTAATCTTTACCTTAACCAACTCAACATAACAAAATTACATGTTTTTTCACCTCAGGATACTTACAGCAACACAGAAACACCTGTATTTATAGCCGTGCTAAAAATACAACTCCAACTCTTAAAGACACCTAAACTTTCCAATAGGCCCTGTTCTCTTAGCTAAGCACTAAACTAAAATTCATTTTTTCTCATTTGTCATGTCTTTGAAACCAACTACACATTAAAAAAGGGTAAGATGCTGAAAGGAAGCAGCAGCTCAGTTTAGAAGCTATACGGAAGTCTATTACAATTCCCTCCCTGGTTCTTCCCCTTGTCACTTGGATGCGTTAAAAATAGGCAATCATCACCTCTCCCTGCCCCAATAACTGTGTTTGGGCTAAGCAACTCTTTCTAACTGTTAACTTTCATGATTGAAACAGTTGAAGGAAAAGTTCTCAGGCAAATCTAGGCAACCTGAGATAAACGAAAACTAGCTAAGAAGCAGGATTCTTGAAGGCTGATCTTAAATTTCTAGAGAAAGTTCATTCCTCACATACTCTCATATTCCCAAAGGGCACCCTGAGTCAAAGGAAGAAGTGAAAGCCATCAGAAGCTTATCTATTCCACAAGATTATGGACAATTTTTCCATTAGACACACTACATGGCACTAACAGCCTCTAGGAATCTAGATGCTTTAAGAACTTTCTAGTAATTCCAGGGATAGAAAAATCTCTTTTAACTTTGGAATGCGATATAATTTTGTATGACTCTTTAGAGCTTTGTCCGAGAGGTCAATAAGACAATGAATGGCAGTGAAAAGCACAAAATGACTCTTATGCTACCAAAATCTCTCTGAAAACTGTCTACATTAATAGTAAGTAGGTCGCTCTACCTCAATAAGAAAAGAAAAATAAAAAAGGTAAGTATGTGAAGTGTGGTGATAAAAAAAGGGTAATGTATCAAGATCCAATAAACAGACCTTCCCACTTCTCAAATGGAGCAAAAGAAGTGTATTAAATATTTGAGGCAACTGAGCTAGCAGAACCAGGAGTAGAAATCAGGATTAATTAACTTCGTGCTATAACAACTAGTCTACTAAATGATTTATCAGTGGTAACTACATGAAGCAGCACTGACTTGAATAAAAAACAAGGAAAGCCAATTAGGAACTTTGCTTTCATAGACGCTTCTCTGACACAGCATCTGTTCCCTTCTGTTCCCACGAAGTAATGGTCGTACTGTACAAATTATTTTAGTATCCTTGAGAAATCATATGTGGTCCAACGCTCTGACTCTAAGCAGAACTGCATATAGTCAAGTAGCAAGAACAAATATGGAGCTCTGAATTCACAACATCATAGTGAACAGAGGCCATCATTAATTTCAACTAATTGCTGAATGAGGAAAAACAAATGGAGGACTGGTGACTGATGAAGCAGGGCAATGTAAGTTGTAGCCCATACTACCTACTGGAAGGCTGCCACCAAGCTAGAAACCAGTCTGCCCTCTAAGAACACAGAGAAGCTCTTCATGAGGACTTCCATGTAAGAATCAGCCTAAAAGCAGAAACCTGCTAGTCGAGAGCCCTGCCTACATACACATAAATCCTGATCAACTTTTCTGTTATGTCATTCTTAAACATAAGTGAGCTGCAATTTACTATATGCATGCTATATAGTATTATTAAATTAAATATCAATTAAAAAATTTTATATAGGCATGTAATCATTACCATTCAATACTCCAGATAATTAAATTCAAACTGCAGAAACAAAACAAAAAACTGTAATTCATATCCCCAGAGATTCAAGAAGCTACCGCAACCACAAAAAAAGGAATGCTTTAAAAAAAAAGTACCAAAAACAAGAGCAATGAAGAAAGGCTGTATGGAATGATGGATGTGCAGAGGCCAAGAAAGCAATCAGCCAGACGGGAGCAAGCAAGAAGACCGAGGACTGAAAGAGAGAAGGGTCTAGGACCAGAAGTGGTTTAAAGATTTGTTATTATGCTTGAAAAGCTGGAAGAAGATAGGGGTGCAATGAAGACACACAATGCAAGAAAAAAAGAAAGGCCATTATAGAAACTCCAGAAAAAAACAAGTCTCTATAAGAAAGAAAATACAATCATTCGTGTTGTACTGGCTCTACATATTTACAGTCATAATGGACATACTAAGTTTTGCAGGCCTGCAGTTGACAGAACAGGAAATAAAGGTGTATTATCTCAATTTACAAAGATAATCAATAGAGGAACAAAAAACCTCATGATATAACTATATTGGAGAATAGGAAGGCAGAAGTAGCAATGGTGGGGTATATGAACTAAGTTACTTACATGATAGCACAAAGTTAATAGACAATGTCTATAGTTGGTAAATCAATAAATAATACCATAAGCATATAATTTAGAGATATGGAAGTAATCAAAATAACTAAAAGTAGAAACAAAGTGAAAAAAGATTCCCTCTGGAAAGAGAGGGACCAGGGACAGCTGCTTTTTATTAAAAATTCTTTAATATTTTAACTATGTGCTTTACTACTTTCATAAACTTAAAAAACATATTTTAAAGAAAGGAGTGAAAAGAACACTCAGAATCCCATAACATGATCACAACTACCATCAGACACTTGCCTCCACCTTGATGGCACACCGACCAATGGCCCGCACAGCTTTGCGAACAAAGTCAACATCCACCTCTGTGGCATATTCCTTCAGTTCTGCCAGAACCTGTTAAAAATCCAGGAAGTGGACAACCATTAAGGGTTCTCAAACAGCAATTTAATGGCCTAGTGTTTTCTAAAGGCCAGACTTTAAGATCTAGTCATTATAAACTTGAATCTGCTTTAAGTCTGACCTGAGCAATGTTGGCTTGGGATGCCAAACGAATCATGATGTCCAACTTCTCTAGTTTAACATAGATGGGATCATTGTATTTCACAAAGAAGACTTTGATTTCCTGTTTCAAGATTTCAGGCCTGTAGTACACAGAAACACAAGATAAGAAAGGTGAGACATATATTGATATATCCTTGAGTCTACATTAATATCTAATCTCACAAACTTCCTCTACATCCCTCTAACCAGTTCCATCTGGCAGACTATTTATACCCTTTTTAAGGGTCAGGGTACACATTGCCAAGAAGAACTGCTAGAATAATCTGGCTCCAAACTATGGCCTGAACCATATTAAGCAGGCATTAGCTAGAATACTATTAAAAGGCCCTTCAGAAAATAAACTAAATTATAGAGCAACATCAGGCATTTATTACAAGAGCACTCCGAAACCAACTGTTAGCCTCCTGACCCTGGGCAAGCTGCTCTGCCACACAACATTTTCATTTCCATACATTAAAAAGAGCTTAACAGTGGCCTCTTTAATATTGATATGTTAAGCTTAATTCAAAATTACAAACACTTTAATCACCAACTCATTTTTTCCCAACCTTTTCTGGACAATTAGGTTGATGTTCCTCAGGGCAACGTACTGCACCTCTGGTTCCCCAGACAGCAAAGTCACAAGTGGAGGGGCCAACTTCTTTAGCAGCATATTGTAGTAGTCAGAGTCCTTGGGCAACAACTCTAGAAATTTCATTAGGACTTTTACCGCTGAAAGCACCACTGCTGAGTTGGCATGAGATAGCCGGGGAGTTACCCGTTCACAGATGCTGAGTGCAGAAAAGGAAAATTAACATCTTGAATTATAATTTCTCTGGTCAATCCATTCTATAACGTAATGTGTCAGAGTCCCATGGCCCAAGTATCAAGAAATTAGAGAATCAGTTAGAAAAGTCAAAGCTCCATGCGTAGGTAAAATTGTGATCCAAAACTGCAGAAGCTTCATTCCCAGCAAACTACAGGCAGAGCAGGGACATCAGAAGACTTTAGGAGACCAGCAATAAGGGATGTTCAAACTGGAAGGAAACTAGCCAATACCCAAAACACTTGAAGCTCACACCATTTACCTTCCTGTATTATAGTCCTCTGTGTCTCCCCACATTATGTAAGGTCTCCCTGCCTCACAGCCCATTTCTCCTCAACCTATAAGAAGTCAAATTAAGCATTCTGAGAGTTATTTCAGAGTGAGAGGTATCAACCAACTGTGGCTGAAGGTTTCATTGTAAGATGCAGGAGGAGGTGGGTTGACAGGAAAAACTACCCAACCCGTCGTCTTCAGGACAATAAAGGAATCTCCGCTTTCAGGTTTTTGTTTATTTGTTTCTTAACAACAGAACACCATTGCAATAGTCTTCCAATCTCTTCCTCTTCTCCTAGCCTCACCACCTACACTTAAACGCCTCACAAAATCTTGAATATTTAATTATCTGCTGAGGGTTCTTCAGAAATTAACCTAATTTTGATAGCTCTTAGGCAACACGAGTGGCTAGCTGACTATATTCAGTTAAGGATACACGGTAAGTAAGCTGTGTTTCTCTCTTTTCCTCCTATATCTACTTGGCTAACTCCCTGACTTCCTTCAGGTCTTTATACAAATGCCGCCTTCTCAGCGAGGCCTTCTCTGACCATTTTTTAAAATAATTTTTATTTATTTATTTTAATTTAATTTTTTGGTTTTTTTTTTTGAGAAAGATCAGCCCTAAGCTAACATCCATGCTAATCCTCCTCTTTTTGCTGAGGAAGACTGGCCCTGGGCTAACATCTGTGCCCATCTTCCTCCACTTTATATGGGATGCTGCCACAGCGTGGCCTGACAAGCGGTGCATCGGTGCACACCCGGGATCCAAACCCGGGCTGCCAGCAGCAGAGCGCGCGCACTTAACCGCTACGCCATAGGCCCGGCCCCCTTGTCTGACCATTTAATAAAATGTAATTCCTCATCCCCAAATGCCCAGAATTTCTTAGATTTCTTCCTCACTTTATCTTTCTCATTAGCACGTATCATCATCTGACATATTATATACTGTATTATATGCACACTTCTACCCCATCTCTCAGAACAAGTGTTCCATAAGGGCTATGATTTTTGTCTAACCACTGCTGTATCCCCAAGGCCTAGAACAATGCTGGGCATACAGCATGGGCTCAATAAATACTTGCTGAGTGAATGAATAAATAAGTGTGAGATGTCAATGACCAAGAGAAAATAAAATTCTACATAAAGTTCTTTCCAGAAGATATCTGTACTTTCAATTATGGAAAGAAACTATCAGGGTGAGCTTTAGTTAAGTCCAGAGCGAACAATTTCCCAGACAAGTGAAGAGCACTTATGCTACAGTAGCTTGAGCTTCAGCCAGGCAAGGAAGGTTCTTATCTACCATAATTAAAATGTCAACCTTAATGAACAGCCAACATCTCTTCAGAAGTACTTTGCCTAGTTCAGTGCCTATATACACAAAATGCTCAATAAAAATTGGTGATACTTCCAACTCTGTTAACTAAAATGTGTGGATGTGTATATGAAATTTCGGAAGCAATTTCTGATAGTCAAAGAAAATTTGCAACACTAACATGGTAAAGGGCTGAGCAGAACAATCCAGGTGCCTTCCAAAAAATCTCCAAATTCAGACTGACATGATTTCTATATCTAATGGAAGACATCATACATTTTGCTGGCTCCAACATACATTCTCTAGTACTGAATTATATATATAGTTCAGCTCAATAATTAGTATCAAGCCACTCACTACGCATCTAACAGAACGAAAAGTCTGTCACTACAGTGAGAGACATTAAAAAAACCTTTGTTTGCCAAATGGCCAGGAACTGCCGTATGGGAGATGTGAGACCATGACGAGGGAGATTTTAAGAGAGGGCAACCATACTGTTGAAACAAGAAATGAAAAATACACATCTCTTAGGAGGAGCTATTTTTGCATGGTTTACTCCACCACCTAAAATGTTTGTAAATCCAGTGAGAAAATAACATGGAGATAGCAATATCTATCCCATAAGCCACCAATCTTCCTCAACATAATAGACCCTTATTCCAATACAGACTCGAGAATTTACTGAAGCAGGCAAGACTCCCAGATACCATCCAGGAAAAGAGACTGACCTTTGAGCTTCCCGGTCATCTTTAGGGTTGTAATTAGACAGGCAGTCCAATATGAAAATCTGGCCCCATTCGGTGCACTCATTCAGAGCTGTCAGCAACTTATTAATGTTCTGTGGGTTCAGATCGAGTAAGTTGCTGTTTGGGTGAGATTCACTAATTTCAGATAATGCTGCTACAGCATTAGCCACCACCTGGGAAAGAAGCAGATATGACCTTGATTTACCAATAACAGTAGAAATATAGATAAATATTTAATCTTCTTTGGATCACTTCACAGATCTCAACTCATAATCATTCCTGAACATTTTATCTAGTCAGCTAGAAACAGACAAACTGCTTCCAAAATACATATTAAACTACCAATGATGGCATACATAGCTTCCTAGTGGTCAGGCAGGCCAGAATTAAAACAATTCATATATTAGCAGAGAGTCACACATAATTTACTATTGAAACATTAACAATTTTAATAGTGTTCAAAACTATCAATAGAATCAAGACATATGAACAGCTATAAAAGCAATGAAGTTTAAACATGAAACATGTAGTTTAGGCAATGAAGAGAAAAATCTAGGCCAAATAATTTTATAGGTGTATGGGTGTGCATGTATGGGGGTTGGGGAGATGGTAACATCTATCATATCACGAGTCTTAGAGTAAGAAAAGGTGAGCTTGAAACCCTAGTTCACTATTATATGATGTAGGGAGAGCAAATAATCTGTGAAATTCAGTTTCCTCATCTGAAAACTGCAGATAATTTAATCTACCTCAAAGATTAGTTTTAGTTTGAGGATCTAATCAGACGACATATGTGTGCTTTCTGCAAAGCCTTATGCAAATTTAAGGTGGTAATATTACCATAATTCATCAAGACTAAGTTGCCCAGTTTTTCACACTAATGTCTCTGAAATTGGGATGCCTTTTATAATCAATGGCACGTCACTTTAATAGGAAGTATTTTTCTTTCCAGGTAATACATAATCTTATAATCAATGGCATCTTAGAATCAATGAAATATGTTATCTCAAATGTATCCTTCTTTAAGGCAGTAAGATAAATGAAAAATTGTTACTGAATATAAGAAAGTACACTTGCATCCTGACTTACAGATCTGGGAATCCATATTAGTTGCAAGGAAAAAAGTGAACACTCTATCAAAATTACAGCTTATTTCTAACATAACTAATCTACAACCAGTGAATGTTCAAAGTAATTTAACAATTGTAAAAACACCCAAAAATAAACAAAACACACACAAAAAACTACACTACAGCCCTGTACAAGTGAATTCAAAACCACATTTTGCAGTGAGGCTCCCAGTTGTTACTGAAGATTAGCAAGGATCTGTAAGTATAAATGAGATGTGATAGGAGACAGCAGCTTCAGTAACTACGTATGTTGAAAAGATTCTTAAAAACGTCAACTCGTTAGTTCTTACTAAAGTCCCTTGCTAAAAGCTTGAGAAACCAAGAGTTGTATGATTATCCTTTGCTGGCAAAAGAAGAAACCTAATGGCCACAATTTAGCTATTGATTTTAATATCCACGTTATCTGGGCAGTCTGCAGATTATCCCAGCATATAATTTTACCTAGAAGATAAATGTCTAGAAAATATGATTTTTAATCAAATAATACACTTATGACAATATTCGTTATTATGTAAAGGATAACAATGTCAAAAATGGAATCACCTTTAGCTACAATTTAGTGATCAGAACAAAAATTCCAAGACGAAAAAACAAAGGGTCACTTGGTATGATTATGGATATAATATTGTAGTGTTATTAAGACAAATCAGGAAGAATTACCTAGTCTACCTAGATACTGAATGGCAGTAAGTATGCAGTTCTTTCTGACAATTTTTTGTTTGCTAACTCCACCATCAAGCATGGAATTTAGTGAAAAGTAAAAGGCATAAAGAGTGAAATAATAATCCTCTCCATCCTCTCAGTGTTTTACATGCAGGGAAAAGATATTTTATTTCCAGTGTACAATATACTCGATAGACCCAATTATAGTATAAAGGATCAAAATGTCATACCAGAAGACCAAATGCCTGTTTTCATCTACTGCTGCCAACACACGCCCAGTCTCGGTTACCAGGTGTCCAAAATAAACATCCTACCCATGACTTACCATTTCTGCCAGTCAAATCCTTTTCATGTTAAAAAAAAAAAAAGTTAAGTATAAGGTCTGTTAATAGGAAATGCATAAGAAGAAAAGGTGAGAATTGGAGGAATTCAAAAAAAGCAATGGGGAGCAAAGAGAGCAGAAGGATGCGGAACAGAATGAACAATTAGAATTCCTATTATTATCTTAGGCAATTGGAAATTAAACCAAGGGTATAATGCAGCTAATGAAGTATATGTTCTGGTGGTAAAATAGGCAATTTCCATTTAATAACACATTAAAACAAGAAAGGAAACAGGGAAAAGTAAGTCTAATTAAAAGATCCAGAGAGATCAGATTACAGGATTATGTTTGGAAAAGCCTGCACTGAGAAAAGAGATCACTGCTAAACAGTCACTGAGCCAATGATCAACTAGAGGAGATGCATCCCCCAATAAGAAAATTCTACTGTTCCTCTAAAATTCCTTGAAGTTCCTTCTAGTTTACCTTTCCACTTTCAACTCCTAATCATCACATTCAGATTGTTATGTTTTCAGAAACATATTGAGATGGGCCACTTAGAGTTCTCCTGGTCAGTAAGCCACGTTTCTCTCACTCTTTAATGGAAACTTAAAATAAGCTAGTCACATTTGAACCTAAAGTAGCCGAAGAAAAAGACTGACTTCAAGACACCAACTGGGTGGCTAGGGCATATGGGAAAACTCACTTGTCAATGTTTACACTCTGTTTCTTAGGAATTTTGTACTGTGTACATAGTATATATATATATTGTCTATTTTTAAAAATAAACTTAAAAAAATAGATTGAAACTTAAGATTTACTTCCTCTTCCCAAAGAGCCTTCTCCAAACAATAACTCAATATCACAAAAGAACGAATCTGACCTTTGCAGTAACTGCCTTGATTTATCCATGTATTAAAACGAAGGTTATGTCTCTTTCACTTGAATGATCACTTGGAATTTGAACTAAGACTAACCCCTGGAAAATTGGCATTGCTCTTGGGAAACACTGCCACAAAGAGAACCATGGCCTTTTAACTGTAATCTCAGAAAAATGAGAGTTCCCAAGAAAGAAAGGGGTTTCTAAATGAAGTTTTGCTTTAAAAATGGATTTACAAACAGGGTTTCTTAAGTGAGTTTGCTCAGTACCTTAGTTGATTTACAAAATGTTGGCATCTAGACTACAAAGGAACACATCCATAGCACCAAAAAAAATTTTTTTTATTCATCTTGCCTCCCAATTATGGTAAGTTCTGTTCTTTGGGAGACTACACTAAACATTCCTCCTCCCACCCCACCCCCCATAGATCTAATGTAATATGTATACTTTATAGATACAGATATTAAATACAAACATATATATATATACATATATACAAAAACAGGTATATAGATATATATAAAATCACACTCAATACTAGAGTGAGTCTGCTGAATTTTTTTTAAGGTAAGCAATTTGTGTTTTGACTTACTTTATACTATACCTAATAGAGTAAGTTGCACAAAGAGAGTTACTAACAGCTAAAATTGATCGAACACTTACTAGGTGCCATTAATCCTCATAGCAACTCTGAGGTAGTTGCTATCAAAATTCACTTATTACAAATAAGGAAGCCGGCTTTAAAAATGAATTTATAACTAGGGTTAGAGAAATTCAGTGACTTGCTTAGTCAACACAGCCAGAAAGGGATGGTGCTTAAATATGAACTCAAGGTTTGTCCGATTCCAGTGTCTGAGTACTAATCACTCTGCCTCCAGCATTTATAGAAGTTCCCAGAGCTGTGAACGTCAACTGGGGGAAAGGGAAAGAAAAATCAGAGTTGGGGGAGGAAAATATAATTAAAACATTATTTCCAGACAAAGGGGACATGCAGATTTATACAAGGAGAAAATGTATTCTTCTACTTTACATAGTTAAGAGATAATCAAATCCCGGCAGCACTTAAAGAGGCAAGATTTACTATTTAGCTATAAAATCTGATTTATAAGCTATTCCTATCTTATATGAAGCAATTCTGAGGACATAAATTTGACCTTATTTTTTTAAAAAGGGAGCGAGCTGGAGCAGTAGGTATGGTTACAATAAAAATGATCCTGTAAAAAAGAACTCTAGAAGGAAATCTAGATATACACCAGGAGTAGAGTATTACAAACAGAAGCTCCTTTATGAGAAGTCTCACACATTTCCCTGTCCCTTTGAATGATTTTCATCCTGCACTCTAATTTCACTCATTTTCATAGCCTCAGAACCCAAGAAAGATATCACTTTCCAGTACAATGACTTCCTCCTATTAACCAAATTACTACTTAGAGGACTTTCATTTCCAGCAATGACCTTCAAGGTCATATGCTCTGAACAGATTTATGTTTCAGTTTTCCTGTTCAGTTTACAATCCTTTCAGCTGGTGCCTGTGAAGACCTGAATCAAGTGAAAGCAGTAGAATAACTGACCAAAAATATTATGATAAAATGTACAGGGGGTTTACATATTTTGATCCTCCTAAAAAATCAGCAACAGTTTGGAATCTGGCTTTCTTCTTTATGGAGTTGTCTCAAATGATATGTTAAAACACAGGGAAACATGTATTTGTTCTAAGCATGTTTCAGTCATTGTCATCTTCTTAAGGACACAACAACTATGCTGTACCAATTAATTTTTTTCCGCCTCAAACAAGTAAAACTTAGAGCTCTCACTTTAAATCCAAGACACTACCCAGAAGGCCAACTGATAATACACCAACTATATATAATACATTTATAATGTTCTGTACTTTTCCCCATCGTCTTCTCTGGAATGAGGAAGTTGAGTTAACACATCCACCTAGTTAAGTCAACACATCTCATTATAGCAAAAAAGTCTGAATACATGGTAACAAGTAAGATTTACAAATAAGACTCAATAAAATTCATTATTTAAGTGGTTTAAGATGTGGTCTGACAAAATGCAAATATTCTTTTTTTTTTTTTTTGTGAGGAAGATCCGCCCTGAGCTAGCATCCATGCCAATCCTCCTCTTTTTGCTGAGGAAGACTGCCCTGAGCTAACATCCATGCCCATCTTC